TTTCGTTTTAATATTTAGATCTTTAATCCACTTTGACTTTAGTTTAGTGCATGGTGAAAATTAAGGGTCTAGTTTTAATCTTTGGCAGGTTGAAATCCAGTTTTTCCAACACCATTTATTACAGAGGCTATCTTTCCTCCAATGAGGATGGTTAGCTCCTTTGTCAAAGATGAGGTAGCTGAGTATATCTGGAGTTCTTTCTGCAGCTTTTATTCTATTCCACTGATCCTCACGTCTGTTTCTTTGCCAGTTCTATGCTGTTTTTATCACAGTGGCTTTGTAGCATACTTTCAAGTTGGGGATTGTAATACCCTCTGCCATGTCTCTGTTGGCTAGAATTGCTTTTGCTATTCTGGGTCTCTTCTGGTTCCAAATGAATTTTTGGATTATTTTTTCTATCTGTGAAATATACTGTTGGGATTTTAATTGGGATTGCACTGAATCTGTACAGCAGTTTTGGAAGTATGGCCATTTTCACTATATTGGGTCTTCCTATCCAGGAACAGGGGATGTCTTTTCATTTTCTTACATCCTCTTCAACCTCTTATTTTCAAGTGCTTTAGTTTTCAATGTAGAGGTCTTTTGCTTCCTTCATGATGTAAGATTCCTAGATATTTCATTTTTTGGACGCTATTGTGCAAGGAATTATTTCCCTAATTTCTCTCAGTGACTGTTATTTGTGTACAAGAAATCCACTGATTTTTGAGTGTTGACCTTGTAGCCAGCTACTCTACTGAATCTATCAATTAAGTCTAGAAGTCTTTTGACAGAGTTTTTTGGGTCTTCTGTCTAGAGTATCAACAAATAATGACAGTTTAACTTCTTTGTTTCCTATCTTTATTCCTTTTCTTTCTCTTGTCTAATTTCTGTGGCTAATGTTTCCAGAACTCTATTCAATAGGAGTGTTGATAGTGGGCATCCTTGTCTTGTTCCTGATTTTAGCATGAAAGTCTTCAGTTTTTGACCATTTAGTATGATTTTGGCTGTTGATTTTCCATAGATAACCTTTATCAGGATGAGATAAAGACCATCTATTCCAATTTTCTGTAGGGTTTTTATCATGAATGGGTGTTGAATTTTGTCAAATGCTTTTTCTGCATCTATTGAGATGATCATATGTTTTTTGTCCCTGGCTCTGTTAATATAGTGTATTACATTTATTGATTTAAGTATGGTGAAGCATCCTTGCATTCCTGGGATAAATCCAACTTGATCAGGGTGTATGATCTTCTTGATGACCCTATGTATTGTTTGCCAGTATCTTGTTGGGGATTTTTGCATCTATGTTCATTTTTGAGATTGGCCTGTAGTTATTTTTGGGTTGGGTCTTTTCCTGGTTTTGGAATCAAAGTAATGCTTGTTTCCAGGAATGAATTTTGGAAGTACTGCTGCCCTTTCAATTTCAATGAAGAATTTAAAGAGTAGTAGCAATATTTATTCTCTAAATGTCTTACAGAACTCAGCAGTGAAGCCATCAGTACCTGGGCTTTTCTTTGTTGGTAAATTTTTAATTATGTCTTCAATTTCACTGATTGTAATTGGGGCCTTTAGGATTTTTATATCTTCGTCGTTCAACTTTGGTAATTCATAGGTATCTAGGAATCTGTCCCTTTGTGTTTTCCATTTTATTAGAGTACAGGTTTTCAAAGTAGATATTGATGATCCTCTGGATTTCTGCTGGATCTTTTTCAACCTCACCTTTTTCATTCCTAATTGCATGGATTTGAGTCTTTTCTTTCCTTTTTTTGAAAAGGTTACCTAAGGGTTTCTCTATTTAATTTATTCTTTCAAAAAACCAACTCTTTCATTTGTTGATTTTTTTTGTATCGTTCTCTTAGTCTCCATTGTATTGATTTCTGCTCCGATCTTTATAATTTCCTCCCTGTATGAGCTTTGGGTTTGTCTTGCTCTTCTTTTCCTAAGAGGTTGAGGTTCAACATTAGGTTGTTTATTTGAGCTCGCTGTTTTCCTAGTATGGGCATTAACTGCTAAGAATTTTTCTAGTAGAACTGCTTTCATTGTGTCCCATAGGTTCCTATATGTTGTACTGCCATTATCATTTGAGTGTAGAAACTGTCTAATGTCTTCTTTAATTTCCTGTGACCCATTGGTTGTTTAGGAGAGTGTTATTCAATTTCCATGTGTTTGTGAAGTTCTTGCAGTTTCATATGCTATTGATCTCCAGTTTAACTGCAGCATGGTCTGATAACATACAAGTGATAGCTTCAATTGCTTTGCATTTACTTAAACTTGTTCTATGAGCTAGCATGTGGTCTATTTTGGAGAATGACCCATGTGCAGCTGAAAAGAATGTATATTCTGATATTATGGGATGGAACACTGTAGACATCTATTAAGTCCATTTGTTCTAAGCTTGGTTCAGTTCTAGTATTTCGTTGTTGATTTTTTGACTAGATGATCTGTCCATTTGTGACAGCTGGGTACTGACATCCCCCACTATAACTGTATTAATGCTTATTTGGTTTTTCATGTCCATTAATGTTTGTTTTGTATAGCTGGGGGCATTGCTATTTGGTGTATATATATTTATGACTGTCATCTCTTCCTCTTGGATTGTTCCCTTTACAAGGATGTAGTGGTTTTGTCTCTCTTAGTTTTGATTTGAAATCTACTTTGTCTGCAAATAAAATAGCTACCCCTGCTTTTTTCCGGGCTCATGTCACATGCAGAACTGTTTTCCATTCCTTTTACTTCCAGTCTATGACTTTCTTTTTGAACTAGGTGTGTTTCTTGCATACAGCATATTGTTGGATTTTGCTTCTTAACCCATTCTGCCAGTCTCTCTCTTTTGATTGGTGAATTGAGACCGTTAACATTGATGGTTATAACTGATATGTACTGCCTTATCCTTGTCATGTTATTTTCCTGCTGTTGGCTCTTTTTTAATTTTTCCTCCTCTCCTTTTAATTTCTTTCCTTGCCTGGTGGATTTGTTCTGTTAGGTCTCATGAGTTGTGACCTTCATTGTCTTTTTCTAGAATATTGTTTAGAATTGTTTGAAGTGCTGGTTTAGTACTCACGAAGATTCTCAGGTGGTTCTTTGTCATGGAAGTATCGTATTTCCCCATCAATTTTGAAAGACAGTTTTGCAGGATGCATCAGTCTAGGTTGGAGGTTATTTTCTTTTAGGGCTTGAAATACTTCACTCCAGGCTCTCCTTGACTTGAGGGTTTGTGTTGAAAAGTGTGACGTTATTCTGATGGGATTTCCTTTGTATGTGATTTGTTTCTTTTCTCTAACTGCTTGTAGTATTTTGTTCTTCTGTTGGGTTTCCAGGATCTTGATTATTATATATCTAGGTGTAGTTTTTTTTTATCATGGCTAGTTGGAGTCCTACATGCCTCACTTATCTGTATGTCAAATTCTTTCGCTCTGGGAAGTTTTCTGTCATAAATTCTGTGAACAGTTTTATGTCATTTTCACTTTCTCCTTTTTTTTTTTTTGTGGATTCCTATCAGTCTTATATTATTCTTCATTGAGTCATCTCGGAGCTGCTGGGTCGATTTCTCATGGCCCCTTATTATTTTTAAGAGATCTCTCTTTTCATGGTCACTGACTGCATTCCTGTCTTCTATATCTGAAATTCTGTCTTCACAGTGGCTCATTCTGCTGCAAATGCTTTCAAGAGAGTTTTTAATCTTCTGGATATCTGTTTGAATCTGTTTCACAGATTCCATTTCTTTCCTTTGTTGGGTGATCATGGTTTCCATTTCTTTCCTATGCTGGGCATTCATGGCTTCCAGTATGTTTCTAAACTCACCAATAATTTTTTTTAACCTGTTTCTGTTCTAGAGCCTCTAATCACATCTTTCACTCTGCTCACCATCTCTGTAGTTATCTGGGAAATTATTTCTATTTTGAATTTCTCTAGAGCCTTGTTTATCTGTTTTGTCACTTTCTGTGCTATCAGTTCAGGGTGTCCAGGTGGTTAATTATCAGATTTTTCCACCTCGTTTCCCCCAGAATTTGCCTTTGGTGAGTTGGAAGTCTGGCTTTGCACCTTGCTTATGTGTCTCCTTTTTTATTGTTGGTACTGGTTTTGGTTTAATTCCTGGGTTGATACTTCAATATTGCTTATTTTAAGTGTCTTTGTTGCTTGTATTTAGAGCCCTTACAGAATGACTGCTTCTCAGAGGTGTCTTTCAGATATAGTTGGTCTTTAGGTTTTGAGTCTCTAATGACTCTTAGTAATCTCATTTTCAGTATAGTAGGAAGGACAACTGATTAGACCAATCACACCTTAGCTCAAGTGATACAATCCAGCAGCAACAACAGCATCAAGCACAGCTTAGAAAATGACAATTTGTGGTAGTTATTAATCTATCAGCTGCGGGGGGGGGCGTTGCTCCTGGCATCCACGCAGCTCTCCTCTTCAGTGCTGGGGGGGGCTCTGCTCTTCAGTGCTCAGGGGCACTGCTACAGTGGGCCAAGAGGCTCGCCTCCTCGGGGCTGGAGGGGCAATGCTCCTCGGTGCTCGAGGCAGTGCTACGGAAGCTCCCTTTCCTCCTGCACCAGGAACCTGAGCCACAGGGACCGACATGGCCCAGAGGGTGGGGGCAAGTGGAGACAAGGTGATGGCTCGAAGTGGCTCGCTGGCCCCCAGGCCTGCCAGAATTCCTACTCTTAATAAGTACTTTTGGTGATTTTAAGCAAAGGGTCAAAGGTTCTGATAGCAGGAAATTACATGAAATAATATTATATTAAGGCTATAGGATATAGCCTTTGCTGCACATGGTGGTACACATCTGTAATCCCTAGAGGCCTGAGGCAGGATTCCAAGTTGAAGGTCAACCTGGGCAACTTAGTGAGACCCTATCTCAAAATAAAAAATACAAAATGGGCTGTGGACAGTAGCTCAGTGTGAAGGCCGAGTTCAATGTCCAGTAAGGGAAAGAAAGAAAAAGTAGCTTTCTCATACTTAGCATATCATATGAAATTTTCTATTCCTGTTCCATAATGTAACCTCCAAAATTTACTCACTGCTACTTGCGCTGAATCCATAAATCTCAGACCAAAATAGTCACTTTCAATAAGGTCCAGGTGGTACATAATCTGATCAAACAGTTCTTGTCCTTTGGCTTTTTTCTGAAATGGCAAGAAAATAAGTTAATTAATAAGTGGTTTGGAGGACCAAGAGGCCTGAAACAACAAGATGTCTTAAAATACTACTTGCCACACCAAAAGTATTACTATGTTGTAGATGACGGGTAAGATAATGTAATTTTAGAAAATATTTTTCATCAAAACATGTCACTTATGCTAAGTATAAGGTTCATGTTATTACTATTTTAAATTAATCAAGAGCTAACTTTAAAACTTTTCTAGTAAGTTAACTAGTAACAGATATAAACCCATAGAGCAAAAGCATTGCTGAAATACTCAGTTTTCACACTATCCATGTATCTCCCACTTACATAAATTTAAATTGTGACTTAGCTATTTTCTATGAAGAAAAACTTTTTATATTATCAATCTATACCTTTTAACTGTCCTTCAATCTCCCCTACACCCAGTCCCCATTGTGTTTTGCAGACATAGTTCCTGCTACGGTTTAGATCAAGAATGATCCCCAAAACTCTCATCCACTCAGAGGTGGGGCTTTTCGAAGGTGACTGAATCACTGAAGCCCTGCCATGAATGAGTTCACTGCTGAAAGTGCTGTTAGGAGGTGGGGCCTGATTAGAGATAGATCACTGAGAGTGTGACCTGGGAGGGTGAATCTCCCTCCCTCCCTTTTCTCTTTGCTTCCTGGCCTCAATGACATAAGCATCCTTCATCCTTAGCAGGCCTTTCTGTCATGCTGTTATTGTCATGGAGCCTGCAGACCACAGACTGAAAATTCTGAAACTGTAAGCCAAAATAAACCTTTCCTTAAAGTTGTGCATGTTGGGTATTTGCTTCAGTGACAAGAAAGTGACTAAGTTCCTCTACTTCAATATTCTCTCCATGCCACAGGAACCCAGAAAAAAGCAAGGGTAGCAATCTTATTTGCAGATAAAGTAGATTTCAAACCAAAATTAATTAAGAGAGACAAAGATGGTCACTACATCCATGCAAAGGGAACAGTCCAAGAGGAAAAGATGACAATCATAAATATATATGCACCAAATATGAATGCCCCTAACTATAGAAAACAAATGTTAATGGACATGAAAAACCAAATAATCACTAATACAATTGTAGTGGGGGACCTCAGTACCCCATTATCACAAATAGATCATCTAGCCAAAAAATTAACAATGGATTTCTAGAATTGAACCAAGCTATTGAACAAATGGACTTAATAGATGTTTACAGAGTGTTCCACCCC